TGTAGAAGTTTATCACTTACCAACCAACAAACAAACATCCATTTTTATATATTAGATTTATAATCTTATTTTATAAACGTTTCTACGACAAATAAATAAAACACTTTTATTGCTTAGAACTCTATTATGTTCACAGCTCGTCTAATATGATCAATTAGCATTTTGGAAGTAATTATAAAATACCAACAAAATAAAACTGTTGCAGCACCATGAAATTATAAAACAATTTTGCTGGTTGGATAGTAAATAGTTGTATCTGATAAGTATAATTGTACTGGTAAGTATAGTTTGAATCTCTAACGCTTAATGAGTTCAATGAACACATTTCACAAGATTGAAATGTGATATTTTTCTCGATGTGCAATTCGCCAACGAAATTGATATTAACTAAGACAGATTTAAAGAATTTTTTTAAGATAAATGTTGTTAAAAATGGGTTGGTTAGATCATCTCCTGACAAGGATCACTTCTTTCGGGGAATGTATATAGAAAAAAGTGCCACATTTTTAGTAGGTATGTGAGAAGTATTTTCGCTGAAAAATGTATAATGCTATTATGTTAACAACTATTTAGAAAAAAATGCCTTCAATGACCATTTTTTGACTATGGCTATGATTTTAGATGACATGACAAAGAATCGATCTGTCTTCAATCTGATAAGCTGAACTGGATCCTTTAACGTAGAATGAATATAAAATAAACACTGACCCCACATATTAAAATTGAGCCAACCAAGTTGGTCTCATCAGAAAGTGACTTTTAAAGTATACAGGATATTTTTGATAATAATATAGTAATGTAAAAGGTTATTTTTGGGTCTATTTTGTGCAATTCCTTTTACAAAAATATCTGAGGTCTTATCAGAGTTATATTTTATTTTAAGTTTAGCATACTGCAGTTCAAAAGTTTTACTTTTAGAACATATGTTCATATGATTTTTTTCTAAAAATGGGCAAAAAAATAACCTCCTTAAATAGTAACTTGTTATTAAGAAACACCCTGTATATATGCAGAGTGTGACCATTAAATTCAGCATTATATAGGATTTTTCAAATAAGTCTATTCGGGATTTGACTCTGGCATCAATTTTGCTGCAATCGAAAATAAAAAAAAACAAACAAAAATAGTAGTCACATTATTGGCATCATTTGTCAAATTTGAATATCTGTTTTTTCATTAACCAGTTGTCTCCCTCGCCCTCGCTCTCAGAAGTAGAAACTTGTGAGAGTTGTGGATTAACGAAGTATTACGTGCGATTCCTAGCACGGGTTGGACGATAGGCAATGAAACTTATCGTTCGGCCTCTGGGCTCGAACCACCGGTTCTCACAATGGTCGACTGACTTAGTGGAAAAAACCNGAAGTTTCATGTGGGTTACATAATATTGGCATTTAGAGAAACTTTTTCCAGAATTTTTTTTCTATATTTTGAGAAATATCCCCGTTTCGAATTTTTTTGTGAATTAACTAAAATTTTACAAAAAAGGGTTACTATTTTGTTTTTCATATCTATCAAATCATAAATTGATACCAAATTCAAATTTTGAATGAAGTTAATAATACCATATTTCATTTCTAATTTCATCTCCTATTGCTGTTAGTTGGTGAAAGACACGTCGACATATAATGGTTAGTGATAAATCATAAAATGAATCCCTTGTACGCATCTGCAAGGTAATTTGTTTTTGAACGAAATTTTTGATAATGGATATGTTTGACCGAATTCGATTTTGATAAAAGGCTTTGAGTAGACTGCGGAACAATGTTCCACGAAATTACTCATTTGAGAGTATAAGGGGTGGTTTATACTTGAATGAATTTTATATTTAATAAATAATATTGGGAGATGTCCAAGGGGTTGAAGAAAAAATTAAAAAAATTCGAAATAACACTTAACATGTTAGGCTAAGTTTATTTACGGTTTAGATACGTTGAATAAATTCCACGAAATTATTCATTTGAGAGTTCAAGGGATGATTTATACTCAAATGAATTATATATTTGATAAACAATATTGGAAGAAGTCCAAGGGACGGAAAAAAATTAAAAATTGGGTATAACTCATAAAATGTTAGGCTAAATTTATTTACGGTTCAGATACCTACGTTGCATAAATTACGAAACAATATTTAAAAAGATTATTTTATTTGACCACTGCGAAGCCAAAGAGTCATTCAAAGTCAAATTTATAAATTTTTTCGATATGATAACTCATGTGATTATGGAAACCTAATGAACCCATTTAAAAAATGAAATGGTTAAAATAATTTAGAAAATATTTTCGTCAGTTCGAAAATTTCATCGACGTTCGTAAATGTCTTCTGATGAAAGTATGAAAATCCCATTTTTTAAACAGGAGCCATGCGAGATTTTTGAACAGAAGATGAAAAATAAAAAATAATAAAACAATAGTTTCGAAAAAGTCTGGATGAACTATTGTCCTAAAAATAATATTTGTAGTCATTATCATTTCAATCTGGTGATATTCATATACCATCATTATAATTGGGGGAAATGTTGTTTTTGAACAATTCATTATGGGACAGGATAAACGTATTAATTCAAACTGGTTTGATTCTATTGTTGGAGTGTATTAAATTTATGGAAGTGACCTCAAATTGACAGAAAATAATTTGGAATTTGCCAGACATGAATATGACTTTGTGGTAGATAGGAAGTATAGATATGGGTAGTGTAATTAAAAATAGGATTGCTGTTCATTGTGAATTAGGTACCCATTATCAATGGGTCACTGAAATCATCGTCTCATTTTACAAATTTACTCGGATCCGTCAAATCTGTTGCAAATTGTACAATAAAATGGAATAACAGGGTCTCTCAGTTAAATAATCAAAAATCAAACTCTGCTCTACTTTGCCAAGCTTTCGCTTCTAATGGGAAGCTTCTTCAGGGCCTATAACTTAATGAGTTGTGTCTTTTTTTCGCCATTGAATAACATTACAAATCATAGTTACAGTAAAAATTAGTGAAAAACAAAAAATTGAACATATAAATTGACGAAAAAGTTAAACATGTATAGGATTTTTTGTGGGTTTGACAAATGTCATACCTTCACATAAATGTCATTTCTCAATGGGTATGACGATTTTATAATTTTTGACTCTAAAGAAAGAATTATTGATTGATACAATTTTCATTATTATTATGTTTCTGATGTAGTTCCAGTAAGTTACTGTATATACTGCTGAGATTATCAATGTCAGTTTTCTTATTCATACAATCANGATACATTTTTTGTAAAGAATTTTATGGTTCACAATTTTTATCTGAGGTTATTTTATGATAAAACTTACCGTTTTCCTGAAAATCGCGAAAAACCAATTTTTTTCGAGATTTTTGACCTCCGACCTCGAATAAATTTTTTTCCAGGCATCGCAATCATACGGAATTTTAAAATCTCATTTTTAACTATGTTTTGAACAATTACACGCGTTTGCAGCTTATTGTAAATTTATGTACCTTCCAATGTCTAGATTGACCGGATTAATACTGTTATTTTGATTTAAAAGTTTTCGGATGACAATTGAAAGTCAATGTTAACAGCCTCCGCCCGTTAAGATATTTTAACGCCCAGCGACCGTTAAGAGCAACCATGTATGATTATTATCTGCCTCCAATACAAACTTAGTTACTTCTTCTTCAAACAAAACTTTTACTTTCTTTGGTGTGTATCTATCAGACTTTCGTCTCAAGAACAAAAACAATTTTATAAATCTGAAAATACCATTTCTATAGGTAATACTCTGACATGGTGTACGATTTGAAAAACTAACCTTGAAACGACAATGTTGTCATAAAATTTCAAAGCAAGTGTACGTGGTTTGTTCTTTCCTCGGAATCAAAATGTAATCTTTCAGTGCGATTACGAAAAGTCTTGAACGACACACGGCCGATACGCAATTAATGAATTCGGTTATTATAAATCCCTGGCTGCGCCTCGGAATACAATATTCAACTTCATCCGTTATTTGCTACATATTGGTCTTGTAACGTTAATAAATATATCAACAACAATAGGCTTACCAACTTCACTGTATTTCCGGCCTTCTTGAGTGCATCTACGGCAAGGGCATGGGGAACATCAATCACCGGGACATCATTCACGGACAAGATTGAATCGTTAACCAAAAGTCGTCCGTCGGCCGAAGCCGCTCCGCCGGGTATAAGTTTGGTGATGTAGATGGCCGTATCATCGCCGATGTGGGGGTTGTCGGTCCCACCGGCGATACTGAAACCCAGACCTGATCCACCTCGTTCAAGAATGATTTCTTCGTATTCCCACTCATCGTCGCCATTTATCTGGAATAAAAAATTGACAACATTGAATAAAGTTAATTTAGTTGTCCATACTTTATGATTCACCAATTGAATTATGACAGCCGAGAATTTTTCAAAAATTACTCAATATTTTTGTTAATTTTTATTGGAAAATTTCTTGTTTCCTTTCTCAGTTTCAATCAGAATTATCATGGTGACAAATAGTCAAATGTCAGTTTGACGTCTGAAATTTCAGCGAAAAAAATTATCGAATTTTGAAGTTGAACCCATGTATATTCTCTGAATGCATACTTCGAGGTATCCTATGGTTGTAGAGGTCGCTGCAACAAAGTGGAAGAAGCGGGAGCATTATAATCCCGATAGTTCCTGAAATTCCAGTTGGAGCATGTTAAATTCTCTATTATAAACATGTAATGTTTCTTGAGAATAAAGCATCACTATCAGAATAATGAATGAAAGAAAATGTTTCATTTGAGAACCATCTACAAACACAATATTGTTACGCCTCTGATCCTTCATAATGTATCGCCTTTACTGATTTGTTGGGAGACTAGTTCAGAATGTGTAATAGTTCGATAACAGGAAAAGTGACTAAAAAACAAGTTAAACAAAGCAATTGACATTAACTGTAAATTAAATATGGTTTTCAGTTGCAATTTTGGATGATTGAATGATATTTGCATGATCTACACATCTTCGTATAGAGTTACTTTTTTGAAATTTATTGGTTTCTTCCTTTCTTTGATAGATACCCACATTTTTCTGTATGAAGATGGAGAAGTAGAAAGCTTAAACATTTATTTCAAAAAACAAATAATAAGATTCCTTTGGCTGGTATTTAATTAAATAGGCCAATGTATGTCATTACGTACTATCATCCATGACATGAGTAGACATAAAGTCGTAATGTTATGAATGAATCGAGTGCATTATTTCATAATGTTATTCAGATTTGATGCTGAAGAGACGATAAGGCAAGTGTCTTACGACGAAACATCAGATGTTCAAGTGAGAATGACAGTTTTCCATGTAAGTGAAATTTCACCTCTTTTATATATTATAATGTGTAGCAATCCTGCGAATGATATCTGATTCAATTTCATAACGAATTTTTGAAATACAAACTGAATAGATAAATGTGTTTGTATAATTCAGTGTTCATTTAAAAGTATTTGTTTCGAAAGTATTTTTATTTCGTGTAATTCAATGTTAATAGCTGTTTATTTTCTTTCAGTTTGTGTTTGAAAGTCAATTTTTTGAAATTCATTGCACTATTATAAACATCCAACACACCTACACTATTTGGACCTTAAAACAACTACTGACCAAATACAAAATTTGAATGGAAATTTTGAACCGATTGAAAAAAGTATTTCCAAAGTAAATGTAACTAACCCGAAATCTTATCACAGATTATCCGATAATATGTTGCTTAGAACTGAATATCTTATCACCTTGCAGAAAAAAATTCGACAATCTACTACCCTCATTTCATACCCGAAATAAAAGAGGGGGTTGATCTATGTAGTTGGCAGAGTGAATAAATGGTTAATCGGCAATCTAGACTCTAATAATGAAATCATTAGAATTTTTAGCGCGATATTTAGGAAAGTTTCAGTTAACGATTAGCGATACGATAAAAAAATGTCGATATTTATCTTAATTTCCAAGGAATATTGTAATAATTTAACTTGGACTTTCAGAGCCTGATCAATTTCATAGATTATATTGAAAACGCCATTATGTTTTCCAAAATCAACTCTCTTCATGATTCAATAGTATCTATTACGGAACTTCAGGAGATGATGATATATCTATTAAATCTAATAAAAATATATAACCAAATTCCAAATTCTGTGAGTACAATCACCTAATACCGTTTTAGTTACGCAAGTCACTTGTGTCGATACCATATTAATCTTTGTAAGACACGTCCCTATTATTAGGCCCAAATTCGTAAACTCATACCATCTATATCCTATTATCCTACTAAAAACAGCTACTACTGTCCGGAGAACTTCGTATTACCAGACAACGGTAGTCTTCACTTCTTCGAAGGAAAGTCCATAAGTGAAGTATTCTAAAAATACTTTATTGTGTGATTTTCACTAGACAGTTTTACAAAAACGCAACACGTTATTCGCCATACAATGGCTTCCTCGGGTGTGTCCTAATAACTAATTCTACACATTCAATGCTCTATATATATACTTCATTCTACAGTTTGAAGTACATGAATTTCAAGTACCTGCTTTTTTACCTAAGTTTGTAATGAATTAAATTACATGAGCTTATATGTTCCATTTTCCATATTTGAAAACATATTCAGTAACGGAGAGTTATTCAATTCTGATTGATTTCTAAACATTCTAGAAGATTGAGTTTCAAACTCTTTCCTTCTAAATGTAACAAATCGTATTCATGATTGAACTCATGTCCTTCCGCTAAAAAGTGGTTTGCAAATGTGGAATTGGTATTTCTGTTTACAAAACTACTTCTATGTCTAAAACTGTATATTGGCCAAACAGGAAGAACATTTTCCCAAAGAATTAAAGATCATAGAAGTAGTTTTGTAAATAGAAAGACCAATTCCACATTTGCAAACCACCTTTTAGCAGAAGGATATGAGTGGTGTTACACCTCTCGAACTGTCTAGTGAAAATCACACAATAAAGTGTTTTTAGAATACGTTGGCACATTTTAGAAATTGATGTGCAAGATCCCATCGTAGAACAAGAAGTAACAATGTACTAACGATCCTTTTCGAAGGAGAGTGACTCTATTCCAAATACCTGAAAATCAATTCCCCAGTATTGATCAGAATTTCACAATTATGCGAAATCCAGATTCACGATACAAAATACATTAAAAAAGGAAAAACCTTTGATACATCCCAAATTGGTGATAACAAAACTGAAGCATCCAATGTGAATCATTGTGAATGGACTGCACCAAATCGACATAAAAGCTAACTGAGATACGTTGGGAGTAAAATATTTATCATCGTCATCATGATATTGCTCAGCCCGCCAAAATTAAAGCAGAATTTCCAAAAAAAATATTTAAAAGGGACCAAAAAGTCCAGAGGTTCCAAAAGTGAGTACCTCACGAGTTGAACGATTGACACGTTCAAGGGCATCCTGCTGAAGTTATTCGAAAATCACTATTTCTGACAGTCAGTAGGGTCTTCCCAACATCAGTCCACAGGGACTGAGTAGCATGGTAACTGCAGTTGCTAAGAGGTCCACTAGCAACTTCAAAATCGATTTGTGCAACATCAGAGGACTTAACTCAAATATATACTCAGTGCACCAGCATCTGCAAACAAATAAATATTCCTCATAGTCTTGCACTCAAAAGCAGTGTTGAATCACTGACAAAAGTCAGTGCTTCAACAACCCCCGTCAATTTTCTATATCCCGCCTATGATTTTCACTCCCGATTCAGACGTAACTTTAGAATATCAGAAGCAATCTCTCCTGTTAACGAGAGGTAATGCTGGAACCGCGAAACTTTGATGTTGTGGTTCAAAATAATATTACAGATATTCACCAAATTTGCTGCGTTTATCGACCACCTAGTGATACACAATATAGAGCACTATTCTCTTCACTTGTAAACATCACTGACTTTCTGCAAACCAATCATCCCAGTGCCGACATTTCCATATTCGGTGACTTCAATTTACTCAATATAGAATGGTTCAAATTTTCAAATATCAACGACGAACAAGGTCGCGAAGCTGAGGCTTTTGCAATAAGCAGCGCACTTAGGTACCCAGATTATAACTGAGCCAACCAGGATTCCTGACCTGGAGAATATGCTGGTCTTCAGGATCTATACCTAACAACCAATCCAGAAATTTACACAGTCACCGTAAGGTCTCCATTGGGAACTTCTGAGTGAATTACCAATAAATGTTGGAGAACACTCTAAGCCGCGCAAAGTTTGGAATTACAGATCAGCTGAATGGAGGATCTTTAAGGTCATTTCCAAAATTCTCCTGGCTAGATGTTTGTTTCAGCTCTAAAGATCCATCAACTTGTACTTCTGAAGTCGTGGAAGTTATTCTATCATCCATGGATGCATATATTCCTTTGTCAATGAAACGACCTTCCAACGGCAAACAACCTTGGTTCAACAAAAATTGCGAGCAAGCTGTCGCCTCCAAAAATCTCGCCTGCCGGCAGAGGTGCAAACATCTCAGTGCCGAAAACCGACCTAGGTTTGTTAATGCTCGCAATAGCTGCAAACTTAGAGTAAATGAAATCAAAGAGCAAAGAACTTTACAATGAGAGAATTAGGGACAAACTGCTTGCCAATCCCAACGGGTCTAGATTCTTCTGGTCGGTAGCTGAAACTGTTAATCAGGACTTTACAAAATCCACAATTTCACCACTAACACAAGCGGATGGTTCAATTGCAACAATACAGCCATAGAAAAAGCAAATCTACTAGCTAAACAATTTGCGTCACACTCCAAAGTCGATTTTTTGGGAAAGGCACCACCTACTATTCCCATACTACAATCCACAATGCCGGAAATAACTTCGACAACGTCTAGTCAGGCGAATTCTGAAACAGCTCAATATCAACAAGGCATCTATCTGGTCCTGATAAAGTGCCCATCATCGTACTTAAGAAGTGCGCAAATGAACTCGCACCAGTGTTTTGCACACTTTTCAACCTGTCTCACGAGAAAGGTGTTTTTCCTTTTTGTTGGAATATTGCTCGTGTTCATCCTATTCCCAAAAAGATCAAGAGAAATCTGCCAAATAACTATAGACCAGTCGCTTTGCCGTGAACCACCAAATTCTCAAATATTTGGAAGGCTTCAACTTCTTGAGCTATCATCAATATGGCTTTCGGAAACAAAGATCAACAGGCGACCTTCTATCGTATGTCACCCATATTTGGAATAAAGCAATCTAGAAACATGTAGAGTCAAGAGTTGTTGCGCTTGATATTTCTAAGGCCTTTGACCGTGTGTGAGAAGAAGAAAACTATTCTTCATCTCCGGAAGACGCCAATTTCGTTGGTGAATAGCGAGCCGAGAATTGCAGTTCTGGTGACTGGGAAAGGTAGTTGTTTTGGATTTGGGGTGTCTTTCAAACTTTAACGTTCTTCTGAATAAATACTTAATCAATGTTTCAAGATTGTGATTCAATGTAGGGTGAAAAGAAATAGCTATTAATAAATTGATGGATGTAGACGTTAACTACGCGGTAGGAGATCTTCATGAAAAATGAGAAATGAAAATTTCTATGTTTTTACCACTTTTATTTGTAACTAAAGTTACTGCAGTTTCATCCTATAAGGTCATTTTCAAACTTATACATTAAATATATACATTAAATGAACTTCTGAGAGTTGTCGTTCGTATGGGGGTGACAGTTGATTAACGGAAAAACAGATTTCAAACAGATTTTCGGTAAATCTTTTTAATATTTTTTCAGGAATTTCAAATAAATTTATATTATATTAGACATTAGACAATGGAAGTCCGAACTGATGAAATACACCACAAAACATTGTCAACCACCTTCAAACAAGTTTGACTAATGTTCTGTCATTCTTATTTTCTATATAAAAAACGTCCTGATGATGTCGAAATGCTATTTGAAGAGATACTTTTGTTTACCTTATGTGTTTTTCGTTTGACCGGTTTTTTTATTCTTGATATATTCCCACTGGAGGTTTTTAAATTTGTACGACTTCATAGAAATTTCCCTGATTGCTAATGAGAAAAATTACATTAATATAACATCTTATCTAAAAAAAAATTCTGTTCCAATTAATTTATATGTTCAATGTCATTTGTATAGAGATACCGGAACAGAAATAGTTCTAGCTTCAGAAAACTTGATATTATCATTTATCATCGACTATTTTTGTACGAACCAAATAAATCGATTGTCGAAGGCTGAATTTCAGACACAATATTCGGTATTTGCCAAACTAATTCCTTTCGCACATTGGTGTATATTAATATGCATGACGGCTATTCCCAAATATCACACAAAATACTATTATTCATTTCTATACACCGAATGACTAATTTCTAACTCCACCAGAGTAATAAATTGAATAAAAAGATGGTATACCACACGTGTTGAAGATCCGTTCGTAGTTTTTACCTCACCGCCCATCTAGGTTATGTCACACAAACGCTAAGTAAAACAAACACTGCACGAAACAAAACAACAAGAATTCCAACTCGACGAGATGCACTAACTACCAACAAGTACCTGACGTACAAACTGTTAAAACATCGTTAAAACGAATTCGAGGTCGGAAAATTATAGTTTTTGATAACCATGTATTACCTAAACTGATTTTGAGTGAAAAAATTCTCCCGTCAGCCGTGAACGCGCCAAGCAACTGAAAAACTGAAATGAAATTTTCAACCTACTTTTATAGTGATTCTATTTATGTTTTACTATGATTTCGTACGGAGTGGAATGAAAAATGGTAGACTCTGTTTCGGAAGTGTGACGTCAGATGTCTACCTGTCACAAAGAGGATGTAATTTTTTTATCAACTAAACAAATAAAGGCGAAATTAAGTATAAAGGATCAACTTTGATTAAATGATTGAATAGGATAGAAGCAATTCCGCTGAAAATATTTCAAAATTGCTATAAACATTAAAAACATCTTCTATACTTAGAAACACTAAAATCAAAATCGTGACAGGTTGTGTTCAGCATTTGCGAAAGACAAAATAGGATGTAACGTACAAATACCGTTTAATCATTCAGAAAATCTAGCATCAATTATAGAGAAAAATGAGTGTCTAATCTTCAAGAGTTTTGAATAATACAAAAGCATCTAGGAAATAGAGAAAATCATATCTTGCTAAGAACCTCATGGTAAGAGGTGAGACCTCGTTAATCCTTTGCTCGTACAAGTTTCGACTTCTGAGAGTTGTCGCTCGTAGGGGGGCGACAACTGGTTAACGTACAAACAAGATAATTCAGTATTCCAATAAGTCAAAGTCTGAACCCTTTATATACCGGGTATTAACGAATCTATTCGACAAGTCATTATTTCTAGACTGTTAGAGGTGTATCATTTTTGGATTTCTGAGCCACAATTCTGGATCAGAATGTGGATTTTCGAAAGTTTTCACGCCTACTTAATTTTTTCAGAGTCACTTTCGAAATTGCACCTAGGTGGCCATGATCTGACGTAAACTAATATAAGGATGATATCAGAAAATTACAATCGCGGAGTTTTAGTGACTTGTATGTTAGGTACAATTAAGGAAAGATTGCAAAATTTCGTGTCTAACTATTATTTTTCAAATGACGACCATTTTTTGACAAGCACTTTCCGAAAAAAGGATTTTTTGACAAATCTAACGATACTAATTCATTTGTGATTGGATCACAAATAAGAACATAAATTAAATATTACTGGGGAAAAAAAATTGATAATAATTTATTTACTTTTGTCAAGTGTGCTATGGATAGACATAATGCATACTATTTTGCTGTTACTTCCATCAAGTCTTCTTTGGAGAACAAAACACTCACGTTATGACAGTGACATAAGCTTTATGATCAAAAGGTAAAAGTTTCTTAGTTTTAGTTAAATTTTAGTTTAATTTTCCATCAAAATAATGTATACTCAACGTGAAGAGGTGGATATGTTGTTATTGTTTGGAGAATGCAACAGAAATTCAAGGAATGATGCTGAGTTGTATGGTCAGAAATATCCCAATCGGTAACATCCATCCCATTAGTTTATCATGAATGAGGAGACTGAGATTAACGTTCTTGCTATGGTTGAGTTTAACAAAACAGTTTCTTTGAGATAAATTAGCCGAGAAATGCAGATAAGTCATGAATCAGCAATAAAAATATTGAAAAGGCACGGATATCGAGCATTAAAATATAAGTTACATCAACATTTGTATGCTGACGATGGCGACAGACGAGTAGTGTTTTGTGATTGGATGCTTCATAATCATAGAGTTAACTCAAGTTTTATCAATTTTTTTATTTCTATTTTCCTATTTTTCGAAGAACCACGGCTTGTTTAATAAGCAAAAGTCTCGGTACTGGGCCCAACAAAATCAACATGCAATGAGAGAGGACAATTTTCAAGAAAGAAAGGTTTGGCGTCTATGTCTGGGCTGGTATTATTGGAACACAATAATTGGACCAAGATTGTTCAAGGTCAGTTAACAGGGGTTGGGTACTTAGGTTTTCTCCAAAATGAAATCTAGGATCATTTTAATAATCTTTCTTTAGCAGTTTTACGGCAAATTTACTCCCAACAAGATGGAGCACCCCTTCACAATACCATAGACGTTCTTGATTACTTGATAGAGCATTTTAATAATCAAGTTATTGCAGCAACCAATTGTCCGGTACGTGGCCTGTTCCTTTCAATGGATCTGACTGTGCTAGATTTCTTCATTTGGGGATATGTTAGAGAAAGGGTCTGTCTGGGTCTGGAAATGTGTCTTGAACAAGAAGGAATGCACTTCGAAACTCTACTATAGTAAAATTTTAAGAAATTAAGATACTGAAAAAAAAAGTAGGTGCGTCGCTGAAATCAGTAGATAATTTTGTTAAATTTGTTGATCCAATCGCAAATAAATTAGTAACGTTAGATTAATCAAAAAATCCTTTTTTCGGAAATTGCTTGTCAAAAAATGGTCGCCATTTGAAAAATAATAGTTAGACACGAAAATGTTATTTTGTAAACTTGTCTCATTCATATTCAACACACTAGTCACTAAAACTCCGCTATTGCAATTTTCTGATATCACCTGAGGTCCATAGATTAGTTTACGTCCGATCATGGCCACCTAGATGCAATTTTAAAAGTGACTCTGAAAAAATCAAGTAGGCTGAAAAACTTCCGGAAATGTCAGTTTCTGATCCAGAATTGTCTCAGAAATCCAAAAATGTTACAATATACAGGGTGTTCCATTTAAAAATTCAGAACCGGAGCCATTTCCGCTGAAACCGGAAGTGACCGGAAAGTGAAAAATATGTGAAAAC